CTTGGAAACTAACACAAAAGGATTCCTATTGAGAGCCCCTACAAGAGGATTCCGAGGGAGCCGAGCAGCTCCCCAGGGGAGTGCTGGGGAGTTTGGGGGGGCCAAGAGGTTCCCAAGGACGCGAGCGGTTCCCTGGGGAAGCGCCCTGGGACAGGGGCTGGGGCGGAGGCGCCCCGACGCCCGGGCCGCCACCCCGTCGCACCGCACGCAGCGATCGACGGGCCGCGCGCCCAGGGCAGCCTCCTGCGCGGGGCCATTCCCGCATGCAGCCGAGCTGTCTGCGCGGGCTTTGGCTTGGCCCCTTTGTTTGGTCGGAGGCGGCGATAGGGGCGATTGGCCCAGGGGAGAGCAATACACGTATCCAGGTGCGCCGATGATCTATGTCTCCGAAGAGGCCCCCGGGGCGAATACGTTTAGCGCCCGCCCCTGGGCTACTTGCCCCTATCGTCGCCGCCGATTGGTTGCTCGCCGCGCGCGGGCCCGCGATCTTCGTCGCGCGGTGCCTTCTCGCACACTCTCGTTGCTGCAGGGGCGGGCGCAGCAGCTCTGGCGAGGTCGGGTCGGTCTGTCGCCTGCTCCACCACGGCGGGTCGTCGTTGTCTAGCGCCGCCCTGGAGGAGGACAAGCCGAGACCATGGCGATCCTCCATGGCGTTGGTCTGCATGTTTGGGCCTCCTGGAGGCTTCTCGTCGCCACGGCTGGACGGACCCCGGGAGGGATCCCGGGACCGATTTTGCACGGATTCGGGTTGGGCGAGAGAGCCGCCGTTGTCTCACCTGGCTTCCTACGACAGTCTGGCCCTGTCTCGATGACCGTTCAATCGCGGACGCTCCGATTGGGGCAACGACCCCTTGTCCCGTGTGCAGTCAAGCAGGCCCCAGCCAGCCAGGGAACGACATTTGCGCGCTGCCTCCTCCCGAGATCTCCGACGTCGGGAACTGTTCGCAATGGTGACTCCCAGTGGTGTGACCCCTTCCTCGGGGCCCCTCATCCCGAGTCGTTGTTTGACGCTCTCAGGGCCGGGTGAGGGCCCCCGGAGGCCGAACACGGCGAGAGACCTCCGCCGTGGTCTTCCTTGCTTCGCCACGGGGGCACATCATGCAGGCCTTCTGAGCCGCCGTTGTCTCACCTGGCTTCCTACGACAGTCTGGCCCTGTCTCGATGACCGTTCAATCGCGGACGCTCCGATTGGGGCAACGACCCCTTGTCCCGTGTGCAGTCAAGCAGGCCCCAGCCAGCCAGGGAACGACATTTGCGCGCTGCCTCCTCCCGAGATCTCCGACGTCGGGAACTGTTCGCAATGGTGACTCCCAGTGGTGTGACCCCTTCCTCGGGGCCCCTCATCCCGAGTCGTTGTTTGACGCTCTCAGGGCCGGGTGAGGGCCCCCGGAGGCCGAACACGGCGAGAGACCTCCGCCGTGGTCTTCCTTGCTTCGCCACGGGGGCACATCATGCAGGCCTTCTGGGCCGGCCCTGGGCCTGCTCTCGAACGCTCCCGGGACGTGCCGGCCCCACGGCGGGGCGAGGGCACGACGGCCGCGGTGCGCGGGCGTGGCCGGCGCAGGCGGCGTGGCGGAAGATTGGCGGCCGCACGTCGGCTCGCCGTGCCCGCCGGCTCGGCGGGCCGAGGCCTTTCGGAGAGTGCAGCTCATGGCCGCGCTGGGCGCGGCCGCGAGAGGCGAGCGGCCCCGCCCAGCGCGGGGCGGCCCGGGGCCAGCGGCCGCGGCCCGCAGAGAGGGCACGAGGAGGAGGAGGAGGAGGAGGAGGAGGAGGAGGGGGAGGAGGAGGAGGAGGAGGGTGAGGGGGAGGAGGAGGGGGAGGAGGAGGAGAGGAGGGAAGGGATTTTGCGGGGGAACGGAGGAGGAGGAGGAGGAGGAGGAGGCTCGCCAGGGAGGGAGGGCGTCCTGCCCCGGGGGCCACCTCTGCAGCCTGCGTCGTGCCTGGCGGTCCTGGGGCCCGTGGAGGGCCCCCTTGGCCCCGAGCGCGGCGGAGAGGTTCCGGGAGCCCGCTCTGCTATAGGACACGCGTTTCCTTCTCGTGCCACAGAGGCGTGGGCCCACAGGGCGAAGGCGTGGCAGGTAGAACTCAGGAGGGGAAAAAACTCACAGACACAATGAATCGGCGGTTCCCCAGAAAATATGGGAAGATATGGGAAGTGGGGGGGAAGACAAAAACCCAGAGAATGTGGGAAAATATGGGGCATCCTTTTATTTGTGTGTATTTATTTGTGTGTCCCAGGGCCCCTTCAAGAACGGGCGCGGCAGAATCAGCGGCTGTTTCGCTGACTTTGTAGGCACCAGTGCTCACGGCCATGGCCAGAGAGTCGTGTGGGCTCCGTTGCAGCACCACTCGGGCCGTGGTTCGGCCTGTTCGGCTTGCTATCGGCTCGGCCAGCTTCGGAGAACAATGCTTTGGCGAGACGCCATGGTCAAGATACAGTCGCCACGGTCATCGCACGCTGCGCAGATCTCATGGGGCGTGATATCGTTGCTACGCATTC